ATCAAATTGACATTGTCATTAACGTTGCCATCGTTATTGCTGTTCATATTCACTCAGTGTTATGACCAGACCGTGATTCGGAGCAATAGACCCTCAGATATCGTGTGTGCGGCTAGCCTCAGTAAAAAATGATGCAGGGCATTGTGGGGCAGGAATTGATGATAGACCTGGACTGGACGTGAACACAGTACAAACTAGGGTGCCTCGAAAAATGGTGTCGAAATATTTCGTTTAACCGATCGCTGTTGCTAAAAGGTTGTTCGATTCAGAGGATTAGGATAAACGCAAACATCAAATTGGGCTTCAATCTCGGTGGAGAACTTCGGGTGGCCACCGTTCCAGCTTAATCATCATTCGACACCGGGGGCGGTAAGACGCGCAGAGGCGGACGAGGGGGAATTCCCAGCGCCGAAGGTGACAGTGTAAACGTTCTCGAAGGAATATAGGCGGTTGCCACTGGACGGGGAGGTGGAGCCATGGCAACCGGGTATGCCGCGCCGATAAGACCAACCGTGTGACCAGCTGCCGTCGCTGGGTCGCCCCTGGCAGCCGACGCGATGATATTCACGGCGTGGGAGATCACCGCCGGGTTAGTCGCAACTCTTGCCACTGTACCTCTAGTGGTACCGCCGTCTTGCTCGAGTAGCTCGAGCATCAAGTTAGCGGCGACCTGGTTCGCCTCCGGGTGAGTAGCCAGCATCTCCTTGATAATCTTGGCCACCTGCGCGCGGTCGCTCTTCGACAGGTTGATGTTGCTCTTGCTCACGAGCACGTTATTGTTCTTTGCGTCGATCGTATTGGTGACAAGTCCTGCCAAAGCCTGGTCCGAGGTCATGCCGGCGTTCCGGGTTAATGGTTCGTCGGCTACCACGAACGCCACGAGGTAGGCAAACACAGCAGCAAACGCAATCTTCATATGCAGCTTGGTAAGGTGGTGGCCGACTTGAGTGGTTCGAATCCTATCGAAAACTGTTATCGTTGCCTTGATGCTATCGAGAAGAGCGCGCGAATCCAAGAAAGCACGACGAAGTACATACTTAACGTCGGAATCTCCAAGAAAAAAAAACTACAACGCCCGGAAAATCTGGAGAAAACGGAAATAACCCACTTAAAGTAAAGACCAACATTTCATATTTTTTTAAGGATACAGCCTAATTAACTACTGAATTCCCAGATAATTAACCTAGTTTTGTACTCTACTGTGCGCTAACATACTTAAGTATTCTGTTTATCAGTAGATTAATCAGAATTCCACGTTATTTTCTCTTAGCGTTTGTTTGCAAACTCTCGAATAGCTGCAAATATTTGTAGTCCGTGTGCTGAACGAGCTCTGTAGCCTAGAATGTCTGTCGTTTGAAGTTAAACCCAGAAGAATTTGTTCGTATTTCTTGTCCCTTCCTGCCTTGGCCATTATGAGCGCCCTCGCCGACATCTCCTCTGCCGAGGCTCCTCGTTCGACCATCACACGCTCAAGTTTATTCCCGCTTTTCAGACCCGATACTACATCGTGGTTGAAATGCTTTACGAAGCACGCGTAGTACCGGGAGGCGTCAGTATTTAAAATGTCGTCGAGCCGCTTGAACTCCGTAATTTTGTCGAGTTTGAGAACGTAGAATGTGATTCTTTTTCCTTGAGCCACCTGACGATCTGGTAGTATTGACTCCTACCGACAAAGACGCATAGTACTTGTTGCTCTTGATAGTTGCGTCGTCAAGGTGATTTCCTGACATATTCATCAGTTTTTCCGTCCTCCGCCCACCATAGCATTTTTAGTATACTTCCAGAAACCTCTTTCTACCGAGTTTTCTCCCCTCTCGTCAAGTGTTGTGTCACTCCGCAACGAGCGCCTCTCATCTGAGTGGCTTAAGGGAGTACTGGTGTTAAAATCTCTGAAGGTTCAGTCTCGCAATGGTACCGGCAAGAAGAACACTCATGGTGGTAAGAGATAAGTTGGAGCACATGTTGAATCTGCGCAGGAGATTTCGTGGGGCTGTGAATTGAGAAGTGATAAGTAAGGCGTCGGGGTTTTTGAATATACATGAACGAAGTCGGTTTGATTTATTTTCCCGCGAACAAGTAGTATACTTAAGCAATGAGATGGACAGATTACAGTCAGTATCCGTAAACCACGGTGAGAAAAGAAAAAGATGTGGTTGCTGGTTAGCCGAGGAGGTAACAATACCCCACAAGCAAATCCCAAATCGCCACAACCTAAATGTCTTGGGAAATGACCATATCGGTGAAAATTTGACCCGTTCGTAGGAAAGTTTCTTTGCACAACGCTAAGAAAGCTAAACTTTGGAGTATACAAGAACACGGTTTAGTGGTACAAAAAATGAGATTATATCCACAGCCGCATATAGTTTTGCTGGTTCGACCTAGACAAACACTGTGTCTGAATGCGAGGACAAAAGGACGAGTCCAAGCTGATACTTGACAACTAGTACTTTGTCGGAGCAAAGGTAGCCAGCAATATGCAGTCAGTTTTGTACGCTGGAGATTCGCTTGAATACTTTTTACTGCAGATGATAAGTCTCGAAATCCAAGTTGAAGTGGATGAAATGACATGATTTGGTTGGTCAACTAAAAACATGGCTGCATTTCTATTCATCACCCTTTACGCTCCCCACCTCGCAAGCAGCTCCGCTTGAGCTTCACGAGTTGATTGTAGATGGTTGTGTGTGGACAGAGTCTTCGGTAATTACCAATATTTTCGGGTATTTCTCCGTACGCCCGTGGGATTTTCCCTCGCAAGATGGCAGTGAGGTCTTCATTCAACTGTCTAGCTGCCATCTCCTCAGCCTCTCGAGGATGGCGTGTATGTGCGTGTGGTCGTCTCTTCTCGTCCTCTTGATCGCGCTGTCGGCGTGCAATAACCTCTGCCAATTTAACTCGATCAAAGTGGAGAGGGTCCACCACACGAATCGTATCCAGCATCATAGCATCTTTAACTTGATAGTCCAAGTCATTGTCCCGTGCCATGGATGGAGACGAGTTGATCTCAATAAGCCATGGCCGCAAGTCAGCGTCCAAGAGGATATCGTACCCTAAAAGGTCGAAGCTGTTGACTTGGAACGGGATGTGGTCCTCACCGCAGAGAAGCGCCTTGAGCACTACTTCTTCGATGCTGCGTTTCACCTGTTCCACGTCCACTCCTTCGGCTGCGAGTCTTCTCCAAAGAAACGCTAGTGTTGTCTTCGTACCCCCAGCATCTTTCTGAGATGCTTCGTTCTCTCCTTTCATACTAGCGATGGGATTTGTACTACCAGTGATCGCTTCTTCGTTGCTCTTTTGAATGCTACTGTTAGTTAAGTGAACGAAGATGTTGCTGATGTCACTATCCTCATACGGTCGAGTACACAGACGAACAAACCCTTCCTCATACAGAAATGCTTCAAGCGGGTTGAACGACGTCACTAGGACGTACAAACGCAGATCGAACTTGTAGCCATCCAGTAACTTTGGAGCCGCAATGTACTCCTGGATCACCACTTGTTCCCCGTATATCACGTGGCTTAGATCGTTCACTAACGAGATGCCACGACCACGAGACAGCGCCACCGGCTTCATGATCCAGATATTCTTCGCTTCGGATAACCCACTGCGTTTTAATCGCTCACCACGTTCTTGAAATGCTTGGACGAAACTTACGTATTCTTTCGGTAATAAAAAAGTTGGTGGGATAATATCAAATGCTTGTCGTAGTTTTCCACCTGCAGCTAAATATTTTCCGATATGTTTTTTCAAACAATCTTTGCGCGTTAAAGCCTTGGCATGTTGGAAATGATTCACTTTTTGCCACACTAACAGCGTCTGACGCTCCACTCGTGGCTTACTCCACGTCCATAGTAAATTCCAAGTAGTTTTAAGTCCAAGACCTGCTGGGTGATCCTCCCACCCCCCACCTAAGAGCTGTAAAGCTTGTGTCACTATCTCAGCAACCTCTTTACGTGCAGTTGAGTTGATTCGATAGTGTGGAGCCCACGGTTTAGCTGCTGCCACAGGTACCATCCCTTCTGGTACCAGAATTTTAGGACCAAAGACTGTAGCGTAGTCCTGCATGATGCTCAGCCAACTTTCGTACAATTTCTGCTGCAACCGCATCGTGTGTTCGCCAGTAGCGCCAACTGGACGGTGGTACAATGAAGAGGTGGATGACGTTGACGAATTGTCGCGACACTGTTCGAAAACTGAAGTCAGAATGCAGTGGAAATTGCGGAAGTAGAAGCGGTAGTCTTTGCACTCGGCTACTGGAACACGAGGTAGTGGAAGGGTTTTCTCGACTGGAGAGCTGGCTCTGATGATTTCAGCGCTCTGTCGGACTTCTTCTATCCACGAACACTGCTTCTGATCTGTCAGAGTCTCCGTGGTAGACTCTGTCATTGTGGTCTCATTTGTTTTATCAGTACACGGCTCGAGGATTTTAATAGGAATACTATCAGGTGAATTGTCAAAATTCTTGTCTGCACCTCCATAGTCTCCAGCTTCTGGCCGAGATAAAGACACAATCGAGCGCTCTACGTTCACGAATATGCTTGCAACTTTCTTGACTGCGTCTGAAGATGGAATAGAATCTAGCGCTGTGACAACTCTTTCGCGTGCTTCTTTCTCTGCCTGCAACTGTTCCAACTTCGCTGCAGCACGCGAAGCCATAAAACTCTGCAGGTCAAAAGCTATCGCTTGTTCTAGATCATGCTGTGACTGGTTTTCATTTATCGATTCAGCTTTCTCAGTCTCCAGTAAAGTCACATCCGATTCATCCGTGAAAACTGCTTCCTTCTGCTCAGCATCAATCGAAGTTGTGGTATCCTTTAAATGCATCTCTGTCGTAAAAATCTCCGGTGCTTGATCAGAACTGACACTTCGACTTGTACGACATTCTGGTAACTCTAATTGTCCATCTTTACAAGAGTAACCACCGTTTACCGCGACGTCTTTACTTGCATCACCACCATCACTATCGCTTCTATCCGTTCGGGGACTGTCCTCTACTTCATCCAGAGGAGGTTGGATCTGTACCTCTAGCGCAAGGATGGCCTTTTCGTTGGCCTCGTCACTCTCGGAACAATTGCTGACGTCGCTCGCTTCACTGTCATCGTCACTATCGCTGTCCGTATCCTGTTTTTCATTCGCAGCGTTGTCTTTAACTTCTTTCTTCTGCTTTTTGTGCTCCTGTTTCTTCTGAGCTTGCAGTGCTCGTCTCGCCTGTAATCGTTGATACGCAGCTTGTCGCCGGTTCTCTCGCTCGCGTTCTAGTTGTTGCACCTTAAACCTCGCTTCTTCCTCTGGAGTCCTCTTCACTATACGCGGTCGTCTTCGCTTTCTCGACGCAGTATCTCCAGCCGATATCATAAAACCTGTAGAAACGGATGTATTTTGCTTCGTTGCGTTGGCTTGCACCATAGCTCGAGCCATCTCAATTGCCGCTTTCTTACTCTTCCAATGCAAACTCGCTGCCTCATTGGCCTTTTGGTCACCGGTCTGGTTAGATATTAAGGCTGATCGAGGCGTCATTTTCACTGTGTCCGCTGACGAACTCCTTTTCAGCGTGTTCGATGTGATCGGCGTTAGAGTTACAGACAGATCGCCTCGCAGCATCTGGAAGACCCGTTCCTGGGCTCGCTGTTGTGTCAAATGCCGCTGTACCAGTGCCAGCTGTCGACTTGCATATCTACCGAGGTGTTGGTCACTTTCATGCGAGTTCAAGGACTCGAGCAGCTCGTTGAGACCGTGCTCAACCTTCTCGAGGTCTCCCATCCCGAGCTGCGGAATGACCGGCAACGGCACAAGCGGAAAGCTGTCCATGTGGTCTGCCAACTTTGCCACTTCGTTGGGATTTAAATTAGTATCTTTCTGGTTATCTCTGAGTCTCCGTTCCGTGACTACTGGAATACTGGATCGATCAACTAGGTGCTCGTGTGCAGCTTGGACCATACTCTCCACCTTTCTATCCGCCAACTTTTTCGAAGACACCGCTGTAGCCGAAGCTGGTCGTCTCGGCGTCGCAGTCGGCATTGCTCACGATCCGGTCAACTGGAATAAGCGAGAGCCGTTGGTTTCGTCGAGCAACTCCGTACAACTATATTGCATTATTTATCGATTGCGTAAAGAATATATTCTTTAGTTTTCAACACAGACATTTGACTTTAGGAGTGGAAATTAAACATTTTTTGCAATAATTTATTAGCGATTGGCTCAACATAAACAAAAAAAA